TGTGTGTGTGTGTGTGTGTGTGTGTGTGTGTGTGTGTGTGTGTGTGTGTGTGTGTGTGTGTGTGTGTGTGTGTGTGTGTGTGTGTGTGTTTGTGTGTGAGTTTGTGTGTGTGTGTGTCTGTGTTTGTGTTTGTGTTTGAGTTTGTGTGTGCAGAGGGCAATAGATCCCGGCGTTGCCAAGTGGTGGTCCGTGTGAGTGTGTGTGACTTGCGCCTTGGGACTGTATGAGCCTACACTCTAATGCAAGAGTATGCGTTGTGAGTATCCATTATTGGAATAGGGTTTAGGGTTTAGGGTTTTAGGGTTCTAGGGTTTTAAATAGGGTTTTAAAGGAGTTGATAAAAACCCTAAACCCTAAAACCTATACTTATGGGATACAACAAAGGAAGTCCACAGCAAGCAAAGCACAGCTATACCACCGTGAGAGCGAACTTTCACCGAGACACTCCATTGCATATTAGATTGGCACATACCAAGGATAGCTACTGAAACAACCACAGTCACAGTCATAGTCACAGTCACAGCCACAGTCACAGTCACAGGCAACCAATGCCGCACACACTACTGATCTTACTAGAGACCGCGTACATCTATATCTGTATCTGTATTACGTCTTTATCTGTATCTGTATCTGTAATACATCTATATTAATACATCTTAAACTGTAATACATCTATATTAATACATCTTAAACTGTAATACATCTATATCTATATCTGTATCTGTATCTGTGTATAATGAAAATGTACTAATTTTTTAAATCACCGACTTTACAATGTCTAATCTATCATACGACACTTTAGTATTCTTCTAGTATTTCGAACCCCGAAGGGCCCTGAAATCAGGCATGAGGCTGTTTTATAAAAATGAAGAATGACTTATTAAAAAGATGGAGTAGACACTGCTCTCACAAGGAGAGTGGTCAGCTTTTAGATAAAAGCTGATCACATCTATAAGTACCCCATGCCACCGTACTACATCTATATCTATATCTGTATTTGTATCTGTATCTGTATTACATCTATATCTATATATGTATCTATATCTGTATTACATCTATATACATATCCGTATCTGTATCTGTATCTGTAATACATCTATATCTGTATTCGTATCTGTATCTGTATCTCCACCCCCAACTCACATGGCAATGGGGTTGTAGTTGGTTGAGTCGATGCGCTTGCCCGAGGGATACGTCCTGCTTATCTGCCGTGTGCTGTAATCCGCATACTCCACACCGTCCTTGTCGCACTTCTTCTTGGCACTACCTTCGGCAAACGACGACATTTGGAAGCGCATGTCACTGCAAAAGAACACAGGCGCAGCTGTTAGTAGGTCGTGGGTGTGCTGCGGTGGTTTATGTGCTGGCCTGTATCTCCCCGCGCACTCGTACCGAACTTCGGGAACGCTAACAGCAAAATGCATGGGACAAAGTACGGTTCGCCTGGTTATTGATACGTGTGTGCGTAGTTTTCCTCTCGTAAGACTATTGGTGGACGTCAGCTGACTCGGTTAATAGATCTATTCCAGAGAAGTATTTAGGTCAGTCTATGACTCTTACAGCACTATTTGTGTACGTAAACCAAGCACAACCAGACGCTAGATTCACAACCAACCGTATGCACTGCTGTGTACACTTATAGGCTGAGATACATCTGACACAGGGTGTGCTACAGGCAATACCACAGGGTAAAGGAAGAACGTTATATGAACTGACAATGGTATGCACTGCTGTATACACTTATAGGCTGAGATGCATCTGACACAGGGTGTGCTACAGGCAATACCACAGGGTAAAGGAAGAACGTTATATGAACTGCCAATGGTATGCACTGTTGTGTACACTTATAGGCTGAGATGCATCTGACACAGGGTGTGCTACAGGCAATACCACAGGGTAAAGGAAGAACGTTAGATGAACTGACAACGGTACGCAGGCAAGTGCGCCTAAACGCTTTCAGCAGGCAGACACTTACAGAGCCTTCGACTCGGCAAACGATACAAAGCGAATGGCTTCAATGTAGTTCACCAATTGACACAGTTCACTGGCAACGTCGGTCTTCTCCTTCTTCTCCTTTTCCTCTTCCTGCCTCAGAGATACATTATCATCTGACATCTGAAAATAGAATTTCCCAATAAAGGTTTAGTTTTGAAGAGATACTGGGTTGTGCGCACCGCATTGGCAATCCCTTGGTGATATTCCATAGCAGTACTATGGGCTCATATATATATATACATCTACATATACATATACAT